GTTTGTTATTTGTTGAGCGTGTACTATGGACCAGGCCCTGTCGTGATCCTGAATGTATCAAAGCTGTCACTCTGCTGGAAATCCATGATGGGCCCTGGGGAGAAAGCACCCCAGCCCCACATGTTGGTGACCGTTTATTGAGAACGTCCTTTCATGTCAGTGTACATGAATGATCAGTGAGTGTGCCTGATTTTTTTAAGATAGGGTCTTGTGTGGCCCAGATTGTCTTTGAGCTTACTGTATAGTCAGGTGTGACCTTAAACTTCTGACCCTCCTGCCCTGTCTGTCTCCTGAGTGCTAGGACTGCAGACACGCACAGCCACACTCAGCTTTGCTTCGCTCTTTTTAATCTTTGAACCTTTCTGAGCCAGGTGTGATGTGACCATGAGCCTGACTATTTTTCTGAGTGTCCCTCATGCTAGCAGAAGATGCAGGACCTGAGGGTGTGCCAGAAGTAGAGGTGTAGGGAGTGAATGAATGCCAGAAAGACAGCCCTGCCATAAGCCAGCGTGTGTAGACGAAGTGCAGATTAGGAGAGGGGGTGGGGCGTGGGCCTATGCATAGCTACTGGCACAGGTAACCCATGTTGCCCAGGAGAAAGAATAAACGAGAGGCCTGAGAAGGACCAGACTGTCGCCGCCATTCCTACTGGTGTCACCCAGGTGTCTGCATCTCTCAGCATGAGAGAGTTGATGCTGAGCAAGTGGATGGCTATGTCCTGGGATAGAGAGATATGCAGAGCGACAAGAGGAAGCAGAAGAGTGTGAAGGACTGCACGGGAGCACCAGTAGTTCAGGTGCTGGCCTAGAAGAAAGAGAAAGTGTGATCTGAGAAGTTGAAGGAAGATGATCCACTCCCCAGCTTCAGTTTTTCTCATCTCTCAAGCGGAGTGTAGAGGAGTCCTCTGCACAGGTGCTGCTGTGACCTAGCCTGGCCGCTCAGGGGCAGGGCACGGGCTGTTAACAGTTCACTATTTATTCAGTATGAAGTACCCAGTGCCTGCAGGTACGGGAAAGCCCTTCAGGGCACACTGGGAAACCAAAGAAAAGACTGTGCTTTGCCCTTGTGGGAGGGAGGATCTAAAAGAATGACCTGTGGTCATTAAAATCTTGTGTATGCATCCCGTACTCATGAAACATGCTGCTGAGGGTGGTTCAGGCTCAGGTATTTTGTTTTAGCTGCACAAGATGGGTTAAAATGGGAATAGAAATAAAACAGTCTGTGGAGGAGAATTGTGCAGGACCTAGGACAGTGAAAAAGCACAGGGCCTTTGATGTGGCTTTTCTGCTTTTAAGGAAACAGGCTCCAGGTCTTGGGGGTGGGGAGGAATTAAAACGGTCCGCAGCAGTGACCGCAGAGGATTGTGCAGCTGCTAACGACAGCTGAGGGCTGGAAGAACTTTGGATATATTTTTAGTGTCTTGATATAATCGTTGTACAGGGTTTCAGGGTAATTTGGACTTGTTTCTAAGACATATGCTTGAATGAAGAAAAGCAAGATGAAAAATAAAGTTTTGACCAGTCGTGATAGTTCAAGCCTGTAATCCTTGCATCTGGGAAGCTGTGAGCTGGAGGCCCACCTGGGGTTTTATAGTCAGTTTCTGCCCAGCCTGGTCCCAGAGCCTTCCTCCAAAAGAAAAGAAAGGATAACCAGCAAGTTGGCTCTCACCTCACAAGCCTGGCCATTGAACACCCAGACACAGGGAAAGAGCTCCACAAATATGTCCCCTGACTTCCATATGGGCACTGTGGCTCCCACACACCTACATACTTCATGTCACGTGCATGCATGTGATTACATTAAAGATATAAACAGTAAATGAAAATTTTGTGTACAAAGATTTTAAGGGAAACGAAGGGAAGGCTTTTGTGTATGACCCAGACATTTCTGAAGGAACCAAGATCCACTGTGCTTGGGGAGAGTGTCTGAGCAGGGTGGGACGCCAGTTCTTACATCTTTCTATTTATTTCTCTTGCGTTATCTTAAAGCTGGATAATTTATGGGCTGGGGTTGTAGTTCAGTGGTAGAACACTTGCCTAGCATGCAGAAGGCCTTGGGTCACATGTCAATTGTTAATAATAATTAATAATAAAAACATAACTATTCCCCTAAAGATTTAGAAAGTAAGCCAGGTGTGGTGACTCCTGTAATCGTAGCAGTTGGGAAATAGACACAGGAGAGCAGGGGGTTAAGACCAGCTGTGGTTTCATGGTGCATTCAAGGCCAGCTTGGGCTACGTGAGACTTTGTCTCAAAAAGGTAGAGAAAATATAGAATACTTTAAAAGTCACTCATAATTTAAATATTTGTATATGTGGTTATTTGGTTTTATTTCACTTAACAGTGTACGTGACCATTTCCTCATGTTTGTCTGTTGAGACAGGATCTTGCTATGTAGCCCAGGCTAGCTGGGCCTGAGATCATCCTCCCTTAGCCCCTCTGGTAGCTATGATTCCAGGCCTTACCTATGCCACAACAGGATGAAGAGTATAGATGTAGAAGAAAAGTGAGCTTGGTGTTTGCGTGTGAGCTGAGAACTCCCCAGAGCTGTGTTTGGAATCCCTGTTCCCTGCGGGATGGGGACAGATGCTTTCCAGGATTGGGTTTGGGGCTTGGCAGTGATCTTTCTGTGCCACCAGCATCAGGTTTCTGCCTGTGCAGCTCATAGGACCAGACAGAGTAAGAGCAAGGCCAGAGCCCCTTGAGGTGTGTCCCAGAGAGAGGCTGGCACTTCAGATTAGCAGGTAACTTCATCTGCTGGTGTCAGATACTGGAGATAGACAGCCATTCCCTGCAGTTCCTGGAGCCATTCTGTCATCCCATAGATATAGGTAGCAGGGGGAGAGAATGGGTGGGTGGGTGGGTGGGTGGGTGGGTGGATGAAAAGCAATGTGATCCAGGTTTATTTATAGAGCACTCCTCTGTAGCAGGTGCCAAGCGGAGCATCTTGGAAGGAAGCAGCAGAGCAGGTTGGCTCAGCTGCCAAGCTCAGGCCTTTCAGTCTGGTACATTGAAAATCCAGACCCAAATCTCTCTTTTCATGGAAGAAATAGGCTACAGCAGGTGGCGTGGGCTGCCCAGGCTTTGACCCATCCCATGGGCAGCTGGTGCCACACGGGGAAACATCTGAGCCTGGGAGCCACATGGATCTGCCTGAGACCTTCCCAAGTCAGGTTATAAGTGCTTATTTACTGGATGGGGCCATTGAGAGTGATGGACATAAAACAAGTGCCTGGTAACTGTCCTGTCACTCTTTCCACTGGTGGCATTGTCATTTGTCCTTGTTACTACCGTGTTATCACTATTGCAACAGGCCGTTTACCTGTCCTGGGCTTTGAACAGTTTCCCTAAAGGAAGGGGAGGCAGAGTGGTTAGCAGAAGAAACCATATCCACAATCCTTCAGCTGAGGCCCTCGCCACAGCTAAGAAGTCTGGACAGGGTGCGCCATCTGCTGGATGCAGCGGGGACTGCCTTACACAGAACTTGTGTGCCCACTGCATCTCTCCATGCCTTCATTTTACAGGTGGGGAACCTGGCCCAGAGAAGGGTAGCGTCTTTGCTCCAAAGGATAGGCAATGTGTGCATGCACATCCCTAAATAATTTCTGTGTCGTGTCCTTACAGCCATGGTTCTCTTTGCTCTAGAGCATTGTCTACCACAGGGCTGTGCTGTTTCGGGTGTCACACCTTTGCTTCCACTCCAGCCTCCTCCATGTGTCTGTCCCTCCCTTCCCACTGGAGGGATCATGGGAAACTAAACTTGAAGCTGGCCAGGAAATTAACTAGTAAAGGTTGCTTTCCACCCACCCGGTATCACAAATGCTCCCCTGTGGGTCTCTTTTCAGTAGCCACGCCTCTGTCCACCTCCTGACGCATGTCAGAAACCAGATTTCCCATCAGCCAGGTGCTGCCCACACGTTTGCTCCTCAGGTTGTGCCTAGAATGCATCTCAGTGCCTGCGTGTTCCCTGTTGCCTCCTCAAACCTGACCTCCTCAGATGCCTCTAAACTCACCCCTCCCAGGCCCCCCCCCCAGCCCCAGGCCCTGCTCTGCAGAGACATCAGGATAGTCTTTGAAATGCACAGCTTATCCTCATGACCTTACCGACAAGCCCTCCAGGATGGGCAGGTGGCCTCTGCCCACCCTCAGTGTCCCTCCTGCTCTTCCACTCGACCCCATCGCTCTTCCTCAGCGCCTCGGAACCTGCTGCTCCCTTCCTAAGGACACTCTTTGCCTTTCTCTTTTTACACTGTTGAATTTCACTTTGAGACAGAGTCTCATTCTGTTATCCCAGAGCTCGCTGTGTAACTGCATAGCTCAGGCTGACCTCAAACTCACAGCAATCCTCCTGTTCCAGTCCCTTGAGTGCTGCAATTACAGCATGGTGTAAGTCACATGCCCAAATTCTATCCCATACCATTCTTGCATCTTGACTGACACTGTACTTCCTGATTCCGAGTCTTGGTTGGTTCCTGGCCATCCCTGCAGCACCCTTGGAGCCCTGAGCACATGGTCATGACCCAAGCAGTGGTAGCTTGATGCCAAATACAGAGAACTCTGAGCTCTGTGAGGTGGGGAGTGGTGCTGGCCTGTCCTTGCTCCGTCTGTAGACCCCAAGACGGTGCCAAGCACATGGTATGGTAAGCGTGGAAATGCTGGTCTTCAAATTTACTTTGAATGAAGATTGAATGACTGTTCTTTTTAAACACATTTTTTACATTTATGTCATCATGTGTGTGCATGTGTGTGTGTCTGTATGCATGCGTGTGTGTGTGAGGTCCACAGTGAGGGTGTGAGGTCAGGGGACAGTTTGCAGGAGTCAGTTCTCACCCTCATGCATATTTTTTTTCCATTAATAAAACAAGGTCTCTCTACACAGCCCTGGCTATTCTGGAACTCACTGTGCAGATCAGGAGCGTTCTCTCAGATCTCCGTGGAAAAGGTGGTTGTGTCAGCAGACACCAGCGCCTCACCTCTGCTCTCCTGTTCCTGTCCCCACAGGCTGAGGAGCGATGCGACAGGCGTGATGGAGGTCGAGTCCTCCTACTCGGACTTCATCTCCTGTGACCGGACAGGCCGGCGGAATGCAGTCCCTGACATCCAGGGTGACTCGGAGGCCGTGAGCGTGCGGAAGCTAGCTGGAGACATGGGCGAGCTGGCACTTGAGGGGGCAGGTCAGAGCCAATGCCAGCACCCTGGTGGGCAGGTGGGGAGGTGCCCTGCTAGCTCTCGCTAGTCTCCAGATCCCACACTTCCTCAGAGAAGTGTTTCTAAATTGGAGCTGTCCACGATGGTGGCAGAGCCCAGCCAGTGTCTAGGCTACAGAACGCCAGTGTCTTGGCCCTGAGGGCTCTGGTGAGCATCTGGGCTACTTTCCTCCTCTCATTTCAACGCCACCAACAAGCCCTGTCAGATCTCTGGCATATTCTAACTCCCCCTGCCTCGTGTTTCATCCTCTCTGTCCTCATAGCTGCCATGTTACCCGTTGTTCACCAGGACTAGGTGCACTCCTTGCACAGAGGCAGCAGGACTAGTTAGCCACCCAGTCCCATCAGGCTTCTGCCCCAGACTCCCTGGTGGTATCTCAGAGCCAAGACACTCCACAGTGCTCCCCAGAAGTCATGCACTGCTGGCCAGCCTGCCTGGCCTTGGGGTCTACTCCTGCCTTGTTACCTACACCTTCCCCCACGCACCCATGTTTGTCTAGTTCTCTATCAGGGTGCAGAGCTTCCTAGTCAGGGCCTTTCCTCCACTGTTGCTCATCTAGAACATCCCCCAGTGGAATTAGGACCACTTGCTGCCCTTTACTCTCAGGGCCAGCTTAGCAGAGGCTCTGAGCAGCCTCCTCGGAGAGCTGATGCGCTGCCCCAGCCGTGTTACTCTCAAAGGTCTCATTTCTCTGACTTTGAGCTCCAGAAAAGAGGGGCCTCTGTTCTTCCTGCACATGGCAAGCAGTTGGTGACCACAGGCTGAATGACCCAACGAAGAAACCAAGAAGAACCTCCCAGTATTGCCTGAGTCCCCATTTCTCCCTCTGCTTAGCTCAGGTCCCCAGATAGCTGTTGACCCTTCCTGGGAAGCCTTCACTTCCGGCCCTTCCCTGCTGCAGGCCCCGAGGCCATGCTTGCCAGAGACACCACTTCCCACACTGCACTGTGGCATCCTCCGTTCACTCCAGGAGCAGATGGTCCTTGCAGGGCCATAACATCGTTTTTGCCTGGGCAGCCCCAGTCTTGGGTTCTTGGTCTTCACTGCCCAGAAGTGACTTAGGAGGACAGAACAGAGAAGGTGTTGGGGGTGGGGACCCAGCCTTTCATGATAGATCAACTGAGGCCAAGAGAAACTGGGAGTTTTCCTAGGTTCGCCCAGCACATGACCATAGTTAGTATGACAGTCTTTCTGCCTTGAGAGAGTGCGCTGCCCACACCCCCAGAGCCTCACCCAGCTTTCCTGTCCGAGGCCCTGTCAGCCTCCCTTGTGCTGGCCCCTGCTTTTAGCTCAGGTGTGGACACCTCCACAGTGCCCAGGCCACGCCCCTCTGCAGCTTCAACTCTCATCCCCCTTTTTTGCTCTCTCTTCCAGCCTGCAGGCTCTAGAGTTGTGAGGGCTTCTTCACCCACTTCCTGGTCCACACGTGCTCGTGGCCTCTCGTGGTGGTGCGTTTTGTGCTAAGGCCTTCCCTGACCACAGCTCGTCTCCAGCAGAGGAGCCCCTTTTCTCCCTTTGTCTCCATGGCCCGTAAACACAGCACCCCCTGTGAACTGAGCTGCTGCAGCCCAGGCTGTCTGGTGCCCTCTGTGACTAGCAGGGTTTGGCACGTGACAGGCACCTATTCAGTGGCTGCTCACTGCCCAGCTGAATGAGCACTGTGTCCAGCTGGCACACTGGGCACAGTGCCAAGGGTTTCTTCAATGCCTCTCTGCTCTAATCAGCTTTGTTTGGTGCCTTCCACCCTCCTTAGCCACCATAGCTGCCAGTCCCCTCCTACAGGCCCTTCCAACGCCATTTGCCCTACTTGAGAGTCTTCATGATGTGTGGGTCCTCCCAGTACATGATGCTTGCTAGCCACAGTGACTGATGTCCAGAAAGGAGACATGAAAACAGAGCAGTGCTTGCTCCAGGGAGTGATGCACCTTTGGTAAAGCTAGGGCAAAGTGGCCAGCTATGAGAAGCCTCTGTGTGGAGGCCTCGCAATAAAATGTTTCCAGGCATTTCTGAGCCCAGCCGACTCACAGAGACAAAGGACAGGGCCTTAAATGTCACCCCTGAGATTTTGACCCAGCAGTTCAAGGACCCCAGAATTTTCTCTTTCACAACTTCCAAGAGCTGGTGCATAAGCTGAATAGGACAGGACCAAAATCCTCAAAGGCTTAAGAGGTCCTGGCTACCTGGTCTCCTCAAGCCTGTGGCCTGCTTGATGTGTATACTCTGCAATATGAGGTACAAGTCTGTCTGTCCCTGGTGTCTTCTCAGACAAGGAGCAGATGCTGCTTCACGTGGCCTAAGAGCAAGAGAAGCCACAGGCTAGCCATGGAGAACACAGTGCACTCACTTTGGGCATCACAGCTTCTTTCTTCCCTGGGACGGATAGGAGAGGACCTTCTCCCCAACTAAGGGGGGAGTTGAGGCTGGCAGGGAAGAAAGTATAATTGCTAGAGGACCTGGGGTCACATGCTGTGCTCCAGTAAGCCACATTCAGATGGCAGTCCCCAGCATGCCAACCACAAGGACCAAATTAGGAGCTGGAGTGAGGGCTCCAAGGTTAAGACCACTTGCTGCTTGTAGAGAGGACCCAAGTTGGGTTCCCAGCACTCACAACCATATGTAGCTCCAGTTCCAGGAGATCCAGTGCCCTCTTCCGACCTCCAAAAAGGTACTTTCCATGCATGTGGTTTACATATCCATGCAAGCAAAACTTACACATACATGCAAGATAGTTGTACATATAAAGTGAAAATAAATTGAAATATTTTAAAGAGCCAAATAATGAGAAGCAGGAAAAGGCAATTTATTCAGCACAGCCACATTGGAAAGAGGGTCGAAAGATCCAGTGAGCCCTCCAGGTTCATCTTTGGGGCCATGCCACGAGGGCAGGTTTAAGTAGAGGCCAGAGTTGTTCATACCTCAGCAGTCCCGCACAAGGTGGGATCCTGCCCACCATGGACCCTTCACTGTTCAGAGCCCACTGTCCTCAGGGTCTGACTAGTTGCCGAGCTCTTTCCAGGAGAAAAGTCCCTCTGGTTGGCTCGGGCTGTAGGCTTTTCTGCAGCAGGAGATCCCAGGGCATTATTTCAGTAGTCTGACAACACGGAGAAGGACAGAGTCTATTAGAGTGTCTCCATCCCTGCCAGGCTGGCTACTGCAGAGTGGCTTGCCTGCAGTCTCTAGCAACAGAGTGACAGAGCAGAGACCATGGGTTCAGAGGGTCACAGCTCATGGCGGGCTTCACAAAATGCATGTTTCCTCGGGTGCAGTCATGGGTGTTAGGCCTCAAGAGGCCCCGAAGTGGGTAGAGCCTTGGTTCAGTCACCATCCTCAGGGGAGGTAGCTTCATGCCAGGCAGGCTCAGATTGGCACATACTTGAGTCACAGTGCCAAGTTCTGCCCGCACTATTTACTTCCATGAGCACTCAGGCCCAAGACTGCCGTGTGGGGTACTGGGAAGCCAACCTGCCAGTAAGTCTCTATAAATTCCAGAGAATGCAGCTTAGTGGAGGACGCTGGGCTCTGCAGTAAGAAGGCTGTCCACCCTTAGATTGTAGGTACATCAGTCAACTTGCTCCTCTGAGCCTGTTTTCGCATGGGTGTCATGACCCCAAACACACCTTCAGGTTGCTGTGTGGACTGTTGGCAGAGTGCCTGCAGTGGCCAGACCCAGGGCTCGGTTCAGGCGTGAAGACAGGCCTAATGGCAGGATGAGATGGACCTTCAGTGGCATCACAGTGTCACTGGGGCTTGAGACTGGCGATTGAGCTTTGCCCATTTAACCGGGCTCTGTGGAGGATGCTGACCCCTGGAGGGTTGAGGATGGAATACAAGCCAGGCACACTGTTGTCAGGTGGGTGAGGCAGAAGCTGCTGGTTCCACCTCCCAGCAGGGCTTGAGGAAGCTGGGAGTGAGTGAGGAGACCCAGCTCACACAGGGACTTGAGAGCAGGCCAGGTTGCTCTCAGCCGACTGCTGTCTTCAGCCCAGCTCAGGTTTCTGCCGGCTGCAGTAGAGCAGGAGTGGATGTTCACAGTGGTGTGCTGAGTCAGGCAGTCCAGATGTGCATCCTCTACCATCATGGGCACTCCTGAGCTGGGCTGGTTGAGTCTGCTATACTGTCTGCAATGATTTTTCTCATTTACTAAGCACATACTTCTTGCTGGAAACTTCACATTCGCAGCCCGCCCCTGGGAGGACACACTAATCCCATGCTTTAGCACCTGTCCCCAGTCCTGACCTTTTTGGTTTTCACTGTACTAGCTGTCCTGCCAGCCTTTCCACGGGAGAACAGGCGATGCCTCTCTGGCCCAGTGCAGCTCTTAGCCTGCCAAAAGGCTGGCCACAGTGATCAGTTTGCCTGGTCCTTCCAGACTCCCGTGCTTTGTAGTGTGTGACTGTGTCCAAAACTTCCTCCTCCTCTCTCCCCTGCAGGACAGGCAGAGGGAAGTACCCCAGAGAAGGAGGCCAGCAATCAGCCCCAGGGCAGTGATGCGAGCTCCTCGTCCTGAGTCCAGCCGTGGCCCTACAGGCCAGAAGAGAGACCTGCTGTCCCCTCCTGGAACTGGAGCCCTGGCACAACCCAGCAATCTCTTCTCTGAGCAGCCAGATCGACCGAGAGCCTCTTGGAGGTCTCTGTGGCGCCTACTCCAGCAAAGTCCTCTGCCCATGCCATGGTTCCGCTCTCCCATCCACCTCCCCACAGTGCACAGGTACACCATCACCACGGGATGTTATTTATTCAGCCAGGTGGGGCCCGAGCCAGGCCCTGCCCCCGAAGTGGGCAGTCCCTACCTGGACAGGGACTGTCCCCACACCATTCATCCCTCCAGTCAGCCGCCTATGTCGGAAAGATCTTCCTAGCCCTTTTTTAAAGCCTCTTTTACATTTTTTAAAAACATAACTTTTTTCAACAGAGAAGGGGGAGCTGACAATCTCTTCTTTCTGTTTTGGTTTTGGTTTGTTTTTGGAAGCCATTTTAAGCTTAGTTCTGATGATCTATGCAGCTCTAAGTTCCCCTCATGAAGCCTCAGATCCAGTTGTAGGGAAAGGATTTGGACTCAAAACTAGCTGACCAGTTCTTTGCCCTTTGTACCAAGAGAGTGATACTTAGGTCCCAGGAAATAAACGCTGATGATTTGTGTGACTGGCTTAAGATTGTTTCTTTTAACCACCAAATGCCCAGCTGGGCTTTGTACCCCCACATCTTCAGCCGGCAGGGTTCCACTGCCGCCCTCTGTCCTGTAGTGACCAGTGTAACTCCTCACATGGCATCTGATGAGCCCTTCCCACCCCATCCTCACACAGCCCACGGCGATAACCTGAAGGGGGCCTGCAAGATGGCTCAGTGTGTAAAGGTGCTTGCAGCCCAGCCTCACAGCTCGAGTCCAATCCCTGCTGATGTGGTGGAAGGAGAGAAGCAGCACTCACAAGTTTTCCTCTCATGCACATGCGTGCACAGTAGCTCACAGCTGTCTCAACCCTAGTTCCAGGGGATCTGATGCCCTCTCCCGACTTCCTCTGGCACCAGGCACACACACGATGCACATACCTACATGCAGGCAAAACACCCATATACATAAAAATGAATGACCCTTTAAAATAATAAAAAAAAATAGCCGCAAAGGACTCTGGTTAAAGGAGCCAAGAGTTGAGGAGCACCTGCTCAAACTGCCCCTCTGGGAAAAATGTCACTTCTGGAGGAAAGGTCCTGGCTCTTCCGGCCCAGTGTCCATGTGGGGCCTCTTACCCACCCCAGCCAGCAGCCCCAAGACCACATTTGCCATGTGCTGCAAGATGCCAGTCACCAGCTGCTTTATTAAACACCAGAATTTTAGCCTTAGAAGGAAGGATTCCAACCCATACCACAATTGGCAAGGCCCCAGGGCCCTAGCCAGAACACCTGATCAGAGGACAGACATGGCCGCTCCAAGGTCTGGAAGGAATGAAGGTAAGAGTGTCACAGAGTTGTGAAGGCTCCATCCACAGGCTGAGGCTCAGAGAAGTGGCCTTGCCATCTTCAGGGGACCTGCCCTGCTGGTCAAGTCAGAGAGGTAGAAAGATCAGACCACTTATAACACATAAGGCATCGGAGAAAGCATAGAATTCCAGGCCCAGAGAATGCCTTCCTACCATAGATAGCAAGACAGGGGCTACAGGCAAGGGAATGTGTGGCTTGCCAAGAACATAAACAGAAATGAAGGGATTCATGGAAATAGGACTGGGCCAACTCTTTGTTAGGATCACGCCTCAAGCCACTGTGATGGTTGGGAGCATCTGCAGAAAGCCTGTCCAGACGGTAGTAACCGCTCAGGAAACAGCCTCCCTGACGAGAGGCTGACTGACAACTGCACCTAGAAGCCAGGCAGGCTCACTAATTCTCAGCACTGTCCCTGGCTCCCCAAAGGACTTCTGCTACAAGCCACAGTCAAGGAGGGACAGGATGGGGTTGTTACTGTGTATGCCATGGGACATACATAAAGTCAGAGATGGCGGGGATGGGGCGGTTGCTGTGCCCTGCAGAGGTAGGTAGATGTACCTTCAGCCTGTGGTGGCCATTGGTATTCTCGGTAGAGTCGTTCCAGAAGCTCCTCCTTCTCTTCCTTGGGGAGGAAGCTTGACTTGGCTGCATTGATGTTCTAGAAGGGAAAACAAGAGTTGAAGAGCCAGGAAGGGAGTGGTCTTGTATAGGTCACAGGGCAGCATGAACCGTAACAGGGACCACAGACCCCCATACTCAGTGTGGGTGTGAGGAGGTTAGTTAGATGTGGTGCAGAGGCCCTTGCATGGATTCACTCAGGACATCGGAACCCAAGACCAAGGTCTAAGCCTAGGAGCAGCCTAAATGGCACAAAATTTTCCACAGCCAGACACACCTTTTTGAGAGGGATCAACCCAAGCAAAGGCTAAGCCACCTGATCCCTCAGCTGGGATGCCAGTGTCAAGGCATCTCTGTGGGAGGCCTTTGGTGCTAGACTCGACTTGGCATGTCAGGCAGACCCACTGTGGGTCTCCAGAGGTGCCAGGCAGTCCTCACACAGATACCTGGACCAAGTGTCGCGGCCACAGCTCACACCCACTCACCAGTCGCTTGAACTCTTCCTCAGTGAAGCCCATGTCCCGTTTGGTCATCTGGTAGTCAGTGTCCAGGGTGGACTTAAAGATGAGAGGGTCGTCTGTGTTGAGTGAATAGTTGGCCTGGTCTTTCTTGAAACTGGCAGAGGGGCCGGCAGGGAGAAAAGAGCCTCTTTACTCCAAGGACCGTGGCTGCCCATCTCCCCGGTTCGATCTTCACCCAGCCTTAGACAACATGAATGGTTGCATTCTGGAGCTGAGGTGAGAGCCAGGGAGGAGGGCAGTTTGCAGAGCCAGGAAAGCAACAGCCCCTCAAGCATCTGTGCGCTCTAACCTTTCCCTTCTCAGCACTGGAATGTGACTGGCACCCTGCCTCCCTCTCCTACTCAGGCCTCAGTTCCTCGCATATGGCTCCTGGCACAACCCTGCCCACCATCCTGTTGAGCTTGATTGGTTTCTGCTGGCTCCAACCTTGTTTGCTTGGATAGCAGTATTCAACACCTTTATTGTTTTGATTTTTGTTTGTTTTTTAAGATTTATTATGTACAGTGTTCTGCCTGCATGTATGCCTGCTTACCAGAAGAGGGCACCAGATCTCATTATAGATGGTTATGAGTCTGGGACTTGAACTTAAGGCGGCTGTCAAGAGCAGTCATTGCTCTCAACCTCTGATCCACCTCTCCAGCCCAGTATTCAACACTTCTAAAATTTGTATTTATGCTGTTGATGTGCATGCCATGGTGTGTGCAATTTGTTACGGTTGGTTTCTGATTCTGCCATACAGGTTATTGGGTTGCCATGCTTTGTGGCAAGCACCTTTACTCACTGAGCCATCTTATCAGCTCCAGAATCTAACACTTGACTCTTCTCAAAACACCATTCTTAGATTTCTCTGACATGATACTATTTTAAAAAGTATTTTAAATTTTTTGTTTTAGTTCCTGTTTGTGTGTATACCTATGTTTGTGGATGTGCAGAGCTGGAGGGAGATGTTGTGGCCATCTTCCTCATTCTCCATCTTAGTCCTCTAGGTCAGGGCCTCTCACTGACCCCGAAGCCCCAGCAATCCTCCTGTCTTCACCCCCTCCCTAGTACTGGGGTCACAGGTGTGCATGGCCATGCTTGGCTTTTTTGTGGGTGCTGGAATCTGAACCCCAGTCCCCATGCCTGCACAGCAAGCACCCCCGTAACCACTGACACCACGCTTTTGACTTCCCTTCTGTTTCTCCTGCCCCTTAATGTCAGTGTTGTGGGTTCTCTCCTTAGTCCTTGATCCACTATCACTAAGAGTCTTTGTTCTTCAGCCTTTGTATTTGCATAGATGAGTTAAACCTCCCTCTAGCCAACATGCTAATAGACCCGTGTGCCTCCAAGAGCCGCCATTTCATGTGCCATAGACACCATGCTGAGGAAGTTAAGAGCCCCCCCCCCACCCCCCATCAGCAGAGCACACTCCTCCATCTGTGTAAGTTTGGCTGACAGACCAGTGCTGGCCTGTCCATTGTCAGCCCAGGTTCTGCCATCTGTATCCTGCCTCAGGAGAAGATGGCTTTGTCCTCACACGAGTCCTGATAAGGACCTGGTCACAGGACAGGAGGACCTTGTTCTCGGTTGCTGATGGGAGCCCTGTAGTATGGGAGAGATGCTCCAGCGAAAAGCTTCAGGCTGGCATTCAGGGGAGTGCTCAACAGCAGCAAGAGCAACACATACCCAGCCGGGTGAGACTCCTCTGCCCACAGCCCAGAAGACAGAGTTGGTGACAATGCAGAAGCTTCCTTTGGGAGGGGGCATTCTGCTGTGGCTGATGCATTATGGGGCCTCAGCTCTAAGAATCAGTAGGTGGGGACCACAGTCAGGTCTGCACGTGTGAGCTTTGCAGTCCTCATTCGCTGGGCAAGGACAGCAGTACCTGCTTCCCACCTAGCCAATGGGACTTCATTCCTAAGAACCAGGATGACCAGGTACCCATTCCTACGTCCCCTCCCCTTCCTTTCCAGAAGAACCAAATAGGTCCCAGGACCCAGATCTCACCGAACAACTGCATGCTCCGTTTTGGGATCCCAGGCGCCTGTGAGATAGCTGGACCAGGGGCAGACCTGCAAGAGGCAGGTGTGTGGCTGGCATAGTGGGCCCCAGGCCATACCCTGATGGGCCAAGCCACCTGCTGTGGCACCATTCTTGCCAGCTTTGCCAGGACCTCCTTGCTTCAAGCCCTTGAAACCTCCACCCCTGGCCACTTCCAGTCAGCTTGCCTGGCCTTCCACCTCTGTCTAAAAGGCATGGGGTAGCCAGAGACAGCTCCCAGCCTCACACTCTCACCTCAAAGTGCATGTTTTCTTTCAGTAGCCTCTTGTAGAGGGCCTCGTCCTCCAGTGTGTGGTAGCCATGTCCCACCCTCTCGGTCTTGAGAGTGTCCACAGCCTATGGAGTAGCAGAGAGGAGGTGAGTCCAGGAGCAGGATTGGAGTCAGGAAGAGGAGGCCCAGGGTTCCTGATTCCTTACCAGTCGCACAATCTCAGAAGAGCCAATCTCCCCAGCATGGACGGTGCGGTGAATGCCACTCTTCACAGCCCCCTAGAAGGGGAAGAGACAGTTTGGGGGTAGCTCTGAGAGGTCCCTAGAAGGTCCCCAGAGGTCCCTGTCTTTGCCACACTTGGGTCTAAATTTTGGCAGGTGTGACTGTCCTCAGAGTCAGGCGAGGCTACTTCAGTAAATACATAGGAGGGTGTGGCCTGATTTCCAAGTGTTGAAAATAAAGTGGTAGCTATCCTTTATTCTGCAGCTCCTGCACCGGCAGTCCGAAGGGTTTAAACACATTGTCTAGTATTCTAAAGCAAACGAACACGGTTTTAGGGTGGAGCTCCAGAAAGTTCAAGTTAATATGACCAGGGCCTAACAAGAGTATAGAACTAAGAAATGGGGCCCAGAAAGAAGCAGTTCCGTCCAAGATCACACAGCAAATCACAGGCAGATGCAGACTCAGCCACAGCTCTCCCATCACCATGCAGGGGCTTTGGTTTATACCCTGCTCAGAGTCCCTCACCCTGACCAAGGCACACTTGGGAACTC